GGGAGCCCGATGCGGGACTCGATCCCGGGACTCCAGGATCATGACCTGAGCCGAAGGCAGTCGCTTAACCAACTGAGCCACCCAGGCGCCCCAAATCTCCCTCATTTTAAAGTACTTTATAAATTATGGGGAGCAATGTGTTTTAAAGATACAAAACAAAAATGTGATCACTACTCTGCAGTAAACATACTTTGGTATTTTTTCTTATTTGAAAATATATGCAAGTTGTACATCGTAAGTTTTTGATGTAGTGTTCAATGATTCATTAGTTGCATATAATACCCAGTGCTCATCACAACACGTGCCCTCTTAATGCCCATCACCTGGCTGTCCCCTCCCCCAACCTCCCTCCCCTCTGAAAACCTTAGTTGGTTTCCCGGAGCCCAGAGTCTCTCATGGTTCCTCTCCCTCTCTGATTTGCAAGTTGTATAGAATTTAGAAAAAATAACTGAGCAAAAATCTCTTTACCTATGTTCCCTTTAAAAATTTTGTTACAGACCTGACTTGTTTTTCTCCCCCTCCCTGGCTAGGGGTTGACATCTCCTATCCTATTCCTTGCCAGGAATTGTAGTAAAGGAAAGCTAGAATCTACGTCAGAATCGTTCAAAAGACCAGACGAGAACACTGGCGTAGGTTGTTTCTTGATTACTCACCGAAGAAGAGAGAAACTGCACTTTCACATCATCATACAGAGGTGGGCAGTTGGATAGATGAATTATTACGCTGTCTGCTTCAACATCATGAAGAATCTGTGAATGATCCCATGGAATTCAGAACTATAACCCCAGTCAGTGGGTGAATAAGAGTGAAGTTCAGTTTGCTTATCGAGCCTTCCTGGATTTATCAAGCACACTTGGTCTCATAGTGTAGTCATTACACATCTAAATAAATGTGAATTCTATACAGTTGCAATACTGTTTACATTTTTAAAAGGCTGACATGTTTGTGGAGATTATGGTACTGCACTGTTGAAAAGTGAAATACTCAGTTTTCTATTAGAATTTAAACATTACTGTTGAATGTGTGTCATTCGATTTTCATAAGCTAGGACACACTAAGAAGCTCAGTTTTAAAGCTGGCATTCACATTCAAAAAACAATATGTAATTGGTCACGTTTTATCAAAAAGGTGTTTGCTGATGGGATCATAGGCCTTGTCCATAGCCGACTACTGGATGGAGTGATCAAAGATCGGCCAAGTTTCTGGAATGAAGGACTTTGAAGCTATACTGAGTATTTCTTTGTTACTGATTTACCCTTGTATAATAGTGGCACCCGCAATGAGAAAGGTCTGTGCTAGTCCTTGTGGAAAATACAAAAAGAAGGTGCAGACTCTGGTGATGCTTCAGGGAGCTATAGACATAAGAAACAATAGTAGAATGGCATAGATTACATGTCAGGCTGGATAATGAAGACTGTGTGTGGTTGTGTGCTCTGGGGAGGTTAATGAGAAGCATAGAGTAAGAAAGCTTCATAGAGGGGCGCCTGAGTGACTCAGTCATTAAGCGTCTGCCTTCGGCTCAGGTCATGATCCCAGGGTCCTGGGATGGAGCCCCATGCCCTGTGTCAGGCTCCCTGCTCAGCGGGAAGCCTGCTTCTCCCTCGCCCACTCCCCCTGCTTGTGTTACCTCTCTCGCTGTGTGTCACATAAATAAAATCATGTAAAAAAAAAAAAATGCTTCACAGAGGAATGAAATGGAGTTGGGATTGGAAGGATCTGTATACATGAGGAGCACTGAAAAGAGAATCCTCTGCAGACAGGGTGGTGTGGGGGAGGGAGAGGAAAGACCACCAAACCTATGAAATAGAAATGAGAGTGTTGTGTTCCAAGGGCCAGAGGGTACCCAATCTACTTGGAATGGATTCTGCGGGTCAAGTTACTGATAGAAATAAGCTCAGGTCTCACGTATGATAGGGAAATATATTAAAGGTTCAAGAGCCAGGAAATAAAAGTTGTTGAAGCATGTGTGTGTATGTTGGGGGGGCATGTCCTATGTGATAACGTGGCCTATAGTTATCATTTAGTGATTATAGCTCACAAGGCAACTTCACATATATTATCCAATCGAATCCTCACAACACTTGAGATGTGATTTTTATTCTACAGATATACTGAGCCAAAGATATTAACTGGCTTTGACTACAAGCACACAATGCGTTCTTCTCCTCTACTTACAGCTTTTCACAGTAGGAGCAGAGAAATACCTGCATATTGCAGATCTCTCTACACTGTATTATATGAGGAGAAGGAAAAGGTAGGGAGACCACTGTAGAGATCTGGGCATGAGCAAATGAGGTGCTGGACTAGGCGGTGGCAATGGGAACAGAAAGGAATGGAGAGAATGAAGAGAGATTTCAAAGGTATAATCAACAGGAATTGGTGACTGGATGTGGGCCCACGGCGAAGAGAGAATCAAAGATACTACATTTTAAGGCCTGAGTGAGAGAATTCTGGTGTCATTTGCAGAGGCAGAGGAAAAGCTCATCTGACAAATTTGGATTGACAAATGTGGTTACATTGTTGGGGCAGAGGCAAATGTGCTTACGTTATTGTAGCTCCTGCACCTACCACATGGTGGATGCTCATAAACATGTGCAGAGTGGATGAAAGAAAAAAAAAATAGTTTAAAGCAGGGGAATGGATGAGCAGAACCAAGAGTAGAGTATGTGCAGAAATAAGAACAGAAAGTCGAGGATCAGGTCTGGGTGAGTGCCTTCCGTGGGGCAAAGGGGAAGGAGTGGTGTTGGGAAAGTAATAGGAGAAGAAAGACAAAACCCTGAGAGAGAATTTTGAGGGTTTATATTTCTTAGACCCAGGAAGGTTTCTTATTGCTTTAGAAAAGGTAGGTAGTCTAAGGCACTTCTTTAGCATTTAAGAAAACACACTATCAGGTCCCATTGCTTTGGGCAAAGAGATATATATGTCCCTCATCTGACCACTCTTGCGTTACTTCTCACAGTGCACTCCCATAGGACATCTGAGGTAGAATCACTTGGGACATTGCTAACTCTAGAGATTCCTGGACCCCATTCCAGATTTCTTGAATCATACTTTTGGGGTACAGTCTAGGTATCTGCATCTTTACAGGCTCCTAGGTGATTCCCATGCACACTAAAATTTCAGAATCAGTGCCATATTATAAAATGACCAAGAAGACAATATGGCTAAAAAATGACCAGATACATGAATTTAAAATTCTGATTCCTGGGAACATGCTTGGCATGTATGGAAAAGTGAAAGGCAAAGCAACACTCTGAACTGAAAATATATTCTGGAAAATGCCCTAAAAAAACTATCTTGAATACAACATGCTGGTTTGACGTTGAGATTTGAAACAAACACCAGAATTTTCAGTTTACATGCTCTTACCCAACAGTTTTTGGAAGCAGAACAGAAAAAGACGATCTTGTGCTGCATTATTATTTGTACTTTTAGATCATTTCCATTGCCTTTTCCAACACCTGAAGGAAATAAAGTTAGGCTCATTAGAGCAAAGAGCAAAATGTCTCACCAATTAACATTATGGATTAAAGAGAAAATTATGACAGCTAACAGTGTGTCAATATTGAATCATTTGGGTCTTGCTTGGATTCCGTCTTCAAAAAACAAAGTTTTGAGCCCAACTTTGTCTCCTAAAGCACAATTTATAAGGCTGGAGGGGGAAAAAAGACATATAGTTCAGCTCCTAGGACTTAGAATTTCATCTCTTCACCTTTCTAGAAAAAAAAATTAGGGTAGGTAACTTGCAACCTCTCCTGCTAATGTGTTGCTTGCTTCAGACATCCGATGTTTCTTAAATAGTCTAAATTCCTCTTGCCCTCATCTAACTCCAGTTCCTCGGGCAGTCTCTAAGAAAATATTGGACAGCTGTGTCCAAACATTTCTGTGGCATTCAGGACACATCTATAGACAAATGGTTTCTTGCTCTTTATTCCATTCAAATGACCCCCTTCTTTTAGTAGTTCTTAAAGGGCTGGTTTCTCAAATCTTCAATTAATTCTTACAGCTTTTCTTTTAACCATGAATGTCACAAATATGCACAGAAGTAAAGGTACAGAATTAAAAACATATTCTAACAAAGTCATATTAATCATTCTTGATATTCATATTATATTTGCATTGTTTTCACTAATACCATATTATTAATTTATATTAAGCACCATCATTTCTTAGGCTTACTTCCCCCATCCCATTCCAGTTGCAGAACTCCTTTCCACTGATGTCCACCAGAAATCAGTGAAATGTAGAACTAAATTCAAATACTTATCACATGACTGGAAAGGGCATTGATTTATAAGCTTAATTCCCTGACATTTAAAACTTTTAAAATAAAGCATATTTACACAATATAAAAGGTAAAAAAGACATGAGGTGAAGAGTTGGTCTCACCCAACCCCACCCGTTTATTTCTCCAGCTTCAAATGCATAACTAATATTTTTATGCACATATAATCAAATATGAAGTCTCCCAGAGATTTTTATATATGTATGCACAAATATGAATACATATTATTTCCCACTTGTTTTACAGAAACTGTGGAATACCTTAACACTGTCCTGTACCTTGCATTTTTTAAGTACATGTCAAAAATTTTTTTTAACTCATTAATAAAAAAACAGTAAAATATTACAGCTGATTCAAAGTAAACTATAAGCCACTGAGAAAAACAGTATGGAGTTTCCTCACAAAATTAGAAATAGAATTACCATATGGTCCAGTAATTTTGCTACTAGATATTTACCCAAAGAATATTAAAACACTAATTTGAAGAGATATATACACCCTTATGTTTACTGCATTATTTATAATAGCCAATATATGGAGGCATTCCAAATGTGTATCGATAGATGAATAGATAAGATGTAGTGAAGATGTGTATACACACACACACACACAATGGAATATTGCTCAGCTGTAAAAAAAAATATATATGAAATCTTGCCATTTTGCAACAATGTGGATGGACCTAGAGGGTATAACGCTAAGTGAAATAAGTCAGAGAGAGAGACAAATACATGATTCCACTCATATGTGGAATTTTTAAAAAAAATGAAAAAACCCCCCAAAAATCAGACTCTTAAATACAGAAAACAAACTGGTGGTTGCCAAAAGGGAGGTGGGTGGCGGGATGGGTGAGATAAAGGGGAATAAAGAGTACACATTTTTTTAAAGATTTTTATGTATTTATTTGAGAGAGAGAGAGAAAGCACAAGCAGGGGGAGGGGCAGAGGGAGAAGTAGGCTCCCCGCAGGACTCTGGGATCACAACCTGAGCCAAAGGCAGACACTTAGACTGAGCCATCCAGGCGCCCCATGAGAGTACAGTTATCTGGATGAACACTGAGTAATGTATAAAATTATTGAATCATTATATTGTAACCTGAAGCTAATATAAACTAATGTATGTTAGTTATACTTCAATTAAAAAAAGTACTGCACATCTATAGGGGGATAAAGGCTGATGACATGAGTTTACAAACAGATACAAAATGGCTCAATAATCGCTTTCCACTAGACACAACTAATTTGTATTTTTATGTATAAAAATTTATAGTATTATTAGTTTTCTACAACTTAATGAGTTATAAAGAGCTTAAAGACCATGAGAGGTAGAGATAATCCTGGAAGGGTGCACAAAACAAAATACTGCTCATTTCAAAGTCTTTCACCCTTTTTTCTGACAGTTTCCCCATCCCCCTTCTGTTTTGATCATAACAACCTCAAAGGAAGATTATTCTTATTCCAAAAGAAGGCTTGTGTCTCTAACACTGAGTCAGGAAGAAATAGGAAATCTGAACAGACCAATTACTAGAAATGAAACTGAATCGGTAATCAAGCAACTCCCAAAAAACTAAAGCTCAGGACCAGATGGAATCACAGGTGAATTCTACTAAACATCTAAAGAAGAGTTAATACCTATTCTCCTCAAACTATTCCAAAAAATAGAAGGGGAAGGAAAACTTCCAAATATATTCTACAAGGCCAGCATTACCCATACCAAAACCAGATTAAAGTCACTCCAAAAAAAAACCCCCAATAAAACTATAGGCCAGTATTTCCAATGAACATAGGTATAAAAATCCTCAACCAAATATTAGCAAATTACATTCAACAATACATTAAAAGGATCATTTACCACGATCAGTGGTAATTTATTTTGGGGATGCAAGGATGGTTCAATACTTTCAAATCAGTCAACATGGTACACCACATTAGCAAAAGGAGGATAAAAACTACATGATGGCTCTTTTTTGCTGCTGGGGAGATGGCAGAGTAGGAGGATCCTGAGCTCACCTGTCCCACAGACACACCAAGATAACAGCCACATCAGTGGAACTAACTCTGAAAAGGACCCAAAGACTGGCAGAACAAACTTTCCACAGTAGAATGGAGACCAGATCGAAAAGGGTAGGTGAGATGGAGACAGAGCTGAGAACCAAACCCTCGGTAAGACTAACCACAAACAGGAGGGAACCCCGAGCATGGAGAAGCAAGAGGCTCAGACACCACAGCAGGCACAGGAGGCCTGCACTGACAAGACAATCCCCATAACATTCAGCTTTGAAAACTAGTGGGGCTTAATAGGTTTTTAGGACCAGCAGGGCTCAACTCCAGACACTTTATTTATTTGAGTATAATTAACTTAAGTGCTATATTAGTTTCAGGTGTACAATATAACAATCCAACAATTCTGTACACTACTCAGTGCTCATCAAGGTCAGTGTACTATTAATCCTCTTTATCTGTTTCACCAATCCCCTACCCCACTTTCCCTCTGGCAACCACCAGTTTGTTCTCTGTATTTAAGAGTCTAATTTTTTGTCTTTTTCTTTGTTCTGTTTCTTAAATTACCTATATGAATGAAATCATATGGTATTTGTCTTTCTCTGATTGACTTACTGCACTTAACAATATACCCTCTAGGTCCATTCATGTTGTTCAAATGGCAAGATTTCATTCTTTTTTATGGCTGAATAATATTCCATTATACATACATGTACATATATATGCCAACTCTTCTTTATCCATTTATCTATTGATGGACACTTGAGTTGCTTCCATATATTGGCTATAGTAAATAATGCTGCAATAAACATAGGGGTATCTATCTATCTATCTATCTATCTATCTATATCTATCTACATATCTATCTATCTATCTTTTCAAGTTAATGTTTTCATATTCTTTGGGTAAATACCCAGTAGTGGAATTACTGGATCATATGGTAATTCTATTTTTAATTTTGTGAGGAAACTCTCTACTGCAGGCAGTCCACAGTGCCTGCACCAATTTGCATTCCCACCAACAATGTACAAGGGTTTCTTTTTCTCCAATTCCTCAACACTTGTTTCTTGTATTCTTTATCCTAGCTATTCTGACAGGTGTAAAGTGATAGGTCATTATGGTTTTGATTCATATTTCCTTGATGATTAGTGATGTTGAGAATCTTCTCATATGTCTGTTGCCCATGTATATGCCTTTCTGTGAAAAATGTCTATTCAGGTCTTCTGCCCATTTTTTAATCTGATAGTTTTTTGGTGTTGTGTATGTTCTTTATATATTTTGGATATTAACCCTTTATCAGATATATCATTTACAAATATCCTCTCCCATTTAGTAGGTTGTATTTTTATTTGGTTGATGGTTTCCCTCATTGTGCAAAAGCTTTTTATTTTGGTGTGGTCCCAGTAGTTTAATTTTGCTTTTTTCCCCCTCACCTTAGGAGATATATGTAGAAAGATGTTGCTATGGCCATGTTAAAGAAATTATGGTGTCTGGTCTCTTCTATCAATTTTATGGTTTTAGGTCTTACATTTATGTCCTTAATCCACTCTGAGTTTGTGTGTATAGTATAAGAAGTCCAGTTTCACTCCTTTGCATGTAGCTGCTCAGTTTTGCCAACATCACTTGTTAAAGAGACTATCTTTTTCCCATCGTATATTCTTGCCTCCTTTGTCATAGATTAATTGGCCATAAAAGCGTTGGTTCATTTTTGGGCTCATTATTCCATTCCACTGATGTGTCTATTTTTGTGGTTACTACAACTTTGTAGTATATTTTGAAATCTGGGATTGTGATACCTCCAGTTTTGTTGTTATTTGCCAAGATTGCTTTGGCTATTTGGGGTCTTCTGTGGTTCCACACAAATTTTAGGATTATTCATTCTATTTCTCCAAAAAATATTGTTGGTATTTTGATAGGGATTGCATTAAATCTGTGGATTGCTTTGGGTAGTATGAACATTTTAACAATTTAAAATTTTAACAATGGGATTGTTTTCTTAACTTCTCTTTCTGCTACTTCATTATTAGTGTATAGAAAGACAACAGATTTCTGTATGTTAATTTGGTGTCCTGTGACTTTACTGAATTATCAGTTCTGGATGTTTTTGGTAAGGGATTTTTTTTTTTAAGATTTTATTTATTTGAGAGAGAGAGAGAGAGTGCATGCAGGCATGAGC